CTGACTTCTAATAGCTGCCAACCTTTGGTTATCGCGGCGCTCTGATTAAGCCGGGGGCGGGCGGAGTGAAGGCAATCGGGGTCGGAGCGCTCCCGGGCCCCCGCCGCGCTACCCTTCCCGCCGCCCGCCACGACCTTCCCCCCCGGCCCCCGCTGGCAGCCGCTGGCCAGGCGGGGAGAGCGAGCGCTGCGGAGAGGCGGCCGGGCTGCGTGCGCCCCGCGGGCGCTGAGGCGGCTTCTGGAGTTGCGGGTGTCCCCCGAGGTAAGGCGCCCATCGCCCGCACTGACCAACACCCGCTGATCCCCAGGGGAGAGCTGTGGCTCGGGACACCTACAGGCACAGTGGGCAAGGGCGGGGGGGGGGGCTCTAAATGGGCACCTAAGGGTAAGATACAAGGAGTGAAGAAGGGCCAGACTGAGAGTTGGGGCCCCGGAGGTCACCGGAGGAGAGCGGATCCAGCTGGCAGTCTAGTCTGCTTGGGCTTGAACCCGCCGCTGTGTGTTTGGATTAATTTGGAGGCTCGAGTTACGGGCCTGGCAGTCTGGGCATTCTGAAATGCCAAGAGCGAGGCGGCGGAGAGGAGAGAGAAAACCCATCCTATTCTCTGCCCGCGCTGAACTGGATTTTCAGGCTCAATCTTATCTGCGGAAATGCAGGGGAAACAAGCCCCGACTGTGGTCCTAGGTGGCTCCCTGTCCCCAGCCACCCTTCTCAGCGGTGGCCTTGGATGACAACGTGCCGCCCTTTGTGCTATGACACCTTTTCCAGAGCAGCGGCTGGCCCTTCTTTGTGCAAAGGGACTCCTTTGGCCCCGGGGAAGCCTTTGGACCCTCTTAGAATCCTGTTGCGAAATGCATAAAATTCAATTAGACCAGAAGCACCATCAAGTTTGATGGGCATACCACTATCAAGACATTAAAGTCACAACATAGTAATCGGTGGTGAATGTTCTGAATGGGGACTATCGATGGAGCCGCAAACCTGCTAACAGAACTGTTATTTCCAACGTGGGGAGGGCGGCAAGTAGCATTTTGAAATGACTGCCAGCAAGAAAAATACCAAAGCTTGAGGGGTGGGGGGAGGGGGGCCGGGCAGACACTCAAGAACTAATAACCAACCAACTGGCAGGAGTCATTTCTGACTCACAGTATAACTACCTTTCTGTTGTTTTAAGTTGAGTGCCTGTGTTCCCTGGGTGCCTCACTTATTCAATCGTATGCTGAGCAAATAATCAGAGAAGCTTGATTACAGGAAGAAGATTGCAGTTTCAAGATTGGAGGGAGGCTTATTAAGAACCTTTGATATGTAGATGAGATCCTTTGCTTGTTGAAAGTGAGGAGGACTTGAAGCACTTGCTGATGAAGATCAAGGATCGCAGCCTTCAGTATAGATTGCAACTCAGTGTAAAGAAAACCAACAGCCTCACAAATGGACCATCACAGTAACATCATGATGAGCTGAGAAAAGACTGAAGTTGTCAAGGATTTCATCTGACTTGGATCCAAAATGAACGTTCATGGAAGCAGCAGCCCAGAGATCAAATAGCACATTACATTAGGCAAATCTGCAGCACAAGACTCTTTAAAGTGTTGAATAGCAAGGATGTTACTTACTTTCATTCAGAGTGAAAATGTGCTTGACCCAAGCCATGGTATTTTCAATCACCTCATTTGCACAGGAAAGTTGGACATTGAATAAGGAAAACCAAAGAGAAATCGATGCATTTGAACTATGGTGTTGGCAAAGATTATTGGCAGTACCATGGGCTCCCAAAAAGAACAAACGAATCTAGCTTAAGAGGAAGAAGTACAGCCACCATGCTCCTTAGCGGCAAACATGGTGAGACTTTGTCTTACGTATTTAGGCCATGTTGTCAGGAGTCCCTGGAGAAGGACATCATGCTTGGCAGAGTGGAGGGACGGTGAAAACGAGGAAGGCCCCAGTGAGGTGATTGACACCATGGCCGCAACAATGGGCTCAAACACAAGAATAATTGTGAGGATGGTATAGGACTGGGTGATGTTTCATTCTGTTGTACAGAGGGGCATCATGGGTCCAGGCCAACTCTATGGCACCTAACAACAACAACAACAAGATCAACATGTTCATAATTGAACAACAAGGAAGGCTAAACTTCTCTAGACATTAACAGAAAAATGTAATTTTTTCCCTCCATTCCTCCAAATTCACCAAACTCCAAATCCAAACTCTCTGCATTCCAACTCCCGGTGCCCCAGATGTATCAGGGTAGAACTACACTCCACAGGGCTTTCCTCAGCTGTAATCTTATAAAAGTTGATTGCCAGGCCTTGCTTTCGCAGCTTCACTGGATAGAATCGAACCACCAACCTGCCTGCCAATAGCAGTTGGGACATTTAGGGACCTTTCACATTCTCACACTCCCTGAATTCTGCTTCCAGGTTAAAGACCCCCCACTTTGGAATAAGGCTGCTAATGTCTGAAGCCTCTGGTTATCACATACCAAACATGAGCTACAGGTTGGCCACTGACTGTGGGGCACCATTTGCTTGCAATTAGAATACAACACCCTTTAAGGTGGGTACTTTGGAGCCAGGTGGACCTGTAGGTAGGCAAAACCCAGATGCTGAGTGAACGCATGCCTCATACCACCCCCCACCCCCCACATACATCCAAACGCATTTTTGGTTTGGTTTTGGCTGCAAATTGAATATTACAGTCTTCCCTCTGCCATTTATGCCTATTCTCAATGGTGGCAGCATTGTGGAATTGCCTGAGGTGTATCCACAAAATTCCCATGCCTGCCCCATGCCAGGCCAACAACATCAGAATCCTCAAGGATTTGATCAGGCCCGAGGAGAGATTCCCACTTGCGGTCAAGTTCAGGAGTTGCTGCTTTGTGTGTTGACTCAAATAGGGTCTTTTCTTGGTAGGATCAGGAGTCCTGGTAGCTTGGTGGGTTAGGTGTTGGGCTACTGCTAACGTCTGTCTGACTTCTAATAGCTGCCAACCTTTGGTTATCGGCCGAGTACCTATCCGTTGTCCCACCAGGGCTGGCTATTACGTTTCTTATGAAGAAGAAGGAAGAGTGAGGAAGGGCTGGAAGGAAGAAGGAAGGAGCCAGCTAACTGGTTTAGAACCCAAATGATCGTCTCTTCCTAGTGCTGTCTCTAAGTCAACTGATGTTAGTTAGCTCTGTGGTTCTACCTAGAATGTCTTCCCACATACCTTCTCCACCAGCCAAGGAAGCACCCATCTCACAATTATTTTTCTCTTCTGATATTTCAAAGATACAGCAATCACTTATTTGTCCTTTTCCCCTTCCCAGATTCTCCTTCCTTCTTAGATTAAGTCTTGGTCCTTCCTGGGTCTGCCCAGCTGTGCTCCACTTTTCTAGCCCTTCTCGATATTGTGGTTGCTAGGTGCCATTGAACCTGTTCCAACCCATCGTGATGCCTTGTCTAACAGAATGAAACACCGGATGGTCCTGCTCCCTCCTCACAGTTGTTCCTATGCCTGCGTCCATTGTAGCCACGGTGTCAACCCATCTCATTGAGGGTTTTCCTCTGTTCCGCTGTCCCTCCGCTTTACCAAACATGATATCCTTTTCCAGGGATTAGTCTCTCTTGACAATATGTCCAAAATAGGTAAGACCAAGTCTTGCCATCCCTGCCTCTAAGGAGCACCCTGGCTACACTTCTGTCACAAATTAGGAAGGAAGGAAGGAAATGTACATTCCTGGAATTGCTACCATGTGGCAGGCACTGTGGTGGGCAGTAACCTGGAATCATTTAATTTTTCAAAGTATTAATTTTTGCATATTGAGAAATCAAGAGTTCCGAGGGATTAGGAACTCGCCTAGGGTTGCACTAACTGTATAAAAATTTGGATACAGATTTTTGCAGATTTTATCTCCAAAGTCCTACTTTCAAGTCCAAAGAGCAACAAAGTACCAATGAAGGAAGGCAGTAGTATCACTATGGCAACAGAGGTGAGCTATCATCAAAGCCAAATGGTAGCTTCTCTTCCTGGTTGGGCTGAGTGCTGGCCAGTGGGTTCCTGGGGTTTGACTGTCAGAGCTCTGCCCAAAGACAGTTTCATGGGATATGAAAGGCCCAGAGAGTTCCAATCCAGTCATCCCAATTCTGCGTAAAGGTAAAAGAAAGTCACAGATCAAGAGAAAACTGGAGAATGAGTATTTTTGGCAGTCGGGGTCAGAAGGGCCAAAGGAAAGAAAATGTACTCATCGAGCTATTTCCATGAAAGAGCAATAACAACCAAAATAATCACTAAGAGGAATCAGAGATTTAATGTTACTTCGGAAAAGAGAAGACACACTTCTGTTACCTTTGTGTGGTTGGAGATGATACTTAGTCTTCTGTATCGGACTCCCTGATCTTGACCAGTGTGCCTCTCACGCATTGATGAGTCATGACTACTCTTCTTCACTTGGAGGAAGAGGGTCCCTCTAGTTTTGGAAATCAATTGTATATTTTTAGAATATACATGTGGTCGATATATAATCGTTTGTCAATTTGAGGATTAAGAGTGTATGAGGTGGAGTCTAGCTTGTCGATCAGAACATAGCCAGTGAGGCCTCTGTGTGGGCATGGCCTTCTCCTGAGAATTCTGGGAAATCCAATACTTCCTCCTTGGAGGTGGGAGACTCTCTGCTCATACCCTGGGAGACTTAGCAGCTGACAAGACACATGGACCCACCCTGATGCAGAGACCCCTGCCAGCGCTGAGATTTTCCAATGACACTGGATCCAAACACTTTCTACCCACTGGTCTGTGATCATCTACATTTGGTGTCATTACATGTGTTTCATGAGTCTGAAGAAGACTTTATATCAGACATGTGGGCTGATATCGAACTTATGGACTTGATCTGGACTGGGCTGGGATATTTTCTCAATGTACTTGTATATAAATCTCTTTCTTATACACATATGTGTGTCCATGGATTTGTTTCTCTAGTCTACCCAGACTAACACAATGCATCATCTCTACTGGTTCTCAAGTAGTGACATCATTATAACTGGGGTCAAATGTTCTGTTGGTATTGGGAGGAGGTCTCAAGAAAGAAAATGATCATCAAAGTCTATTCTGCTAAAATGGTTGAGGAACTGAGATACGGTCCAGTTGGCTCTAGATTAGCGAACTCCATTTCACTGACAATGGAGGACTCTGCAGAACTGCCAGACACGCCAACTGAATCTGGAGAGAGGGAGCGGTGAGAGTGGGCTTGGCCATGGAGGAGTTGGAGGAGTTGTCAAGAATTCCTGTGAGGAATAGGGGGAGGCGGGGGAAAGAAAGGGGTGTGCCAACAAACACAGGAACAAGGAGCAAGTAATCTAAAATCAATGGCGAGGAGAGCATAGGATGCCAGGTGGGGCTTGATCAAGAGCAATGTAGCCAAGAGGAATTACTGCAACCCGAATGAAGGTCAAACATGATAGTGGGACAAGAGGAAAGTAAAAGGACAAAGAGAAAAGAAGTAGGAGGCAAAGGACATTTATAGAGGTCTAAATACAGGCATGTACATAAGTAAATATATTTTTATATAACTATAGGGAAGTAGATTGAGGCACGTGTATTTATTTGTTAAGTCTTAAGGCAGCAGACAGACATTGGACCTCTACTCAAGTACTCCTTCAACACAAGAACACATTGTTCTAATAACCCGACATTCTGTGATGCTCACCTCCCCTGACACAATCCCTAAAGACAAAATGGGTGCATAAGTAAATGTGGTAAAGAAAGCTGATGGCGCCCAGCTATCAAAGTATAGCATCTGAGGTCTTAAAGGGTGGCCATTTAGCTGAGAAGCAACAAAGCCCACATGGAAGAAGCATACCAGCTTGTGTGATCATGAGTTGTCGAAGGGATCAGGTATCAGGCATCAAAGACCCCAAACAAAAAATCCTATCGATGTGAATGAGGGGTTGGATAGAGTGGAGACCCAAAGCCCATCTGTAGACAATTGGACATTCCCTTACAGCCAATCAGGGTGCAGTATATCATCAATGAAACATACAACTTTCCTCTAGTTCTTTAGTGCTTCAAATTGCCCCCCACCCACTCACTGCCCACTGTCATGACCCTAATTCTAACTTATAAATCCGGCTAGATCAGAGCATGTGGTACAGACAAGAGCTTGCAACACAGGGAATCCAGGATGGATAAACCCCTCAGGACCAATAATGAGAGTAGCAATACCAGGAGGGTAGGGGGAAAGCTGGGGGGAGAAAGGGGGGACCGATCACAATGATTGACATATAAGATGCCCTCCCAGGGGGACAAACAACAGAAAAGTGTGTGAAGGGAGACAGTGGTTGGTGTAAGATGTGAAAAAAAAATTATAAATTATCAGGGGATCATGAGGGAAGGGGGGAAATGAGCTGATACCAAGGGCTCAAGTAGAAAGAAAATGTTTTGAAAATGATGACGGCAACATATGTACAAATGTGCTTGACAGAGTGGATGTATATATGGATTGTGATAAGAGTTGTAAGAGCCCCCAATAAAATGATTAAAAAAAAAAAAAAGAATTCCCGTGAGGACTTCTCAGGCTTTCCCTGTTGCTTCTTGGCAAGCATGAAGTGCCAGTCACATCCCAGACCAGGACCACACACTAATTGGGCTTCACTTAAAAACCCTTGTAAGTGTTGCATGTATTTGATTGGCTTTTTCTGCTGACATGCTCAAACCAACCAGAAGTCTAGTGCATCCTTCTTGGAGCCCTCGGTCTCCGCTCCTCTTTTTACCCTCCCTCCCCCACCTTCCCACCCTCGTGACCCCTTGATAAATGATAAGTTATTATTTTCATAACTTACACCATCCACTGTCTCCCTTCACCCCCGTGTCTGCTGTGAGTGCGTGGGGAGGGAGGGAATAAAAGAGTAGCTGATACTAAGGACTCAAGTAGAAAAAAGACATTTTGAAAATGATTATGGCAACATATGTACAAATGTACTTGATACAATGATGCATGGATTGAGCTGTAAGAGCTCCCACTAAAATGGGAGCTTTTTTTATAAAAAAAGAACAAGATTGACAGTGTGAGGAGCAATTCTCCTCCATCCTATAGGGTTGCTATGAGTTGGAACCATTTTGATGGCAGTGGGCTTGGATTTTGATAAGAATTTCTGTAGAAGTTTCCCTAACTAACAGTTCTCTGAAGCAGTCGTGTTCCCATGTTTGAGTGACAGAGCACCTTCCATGGGGAGTCTTGAGCTTTGTGTTGGTTTGTTTGATTGCTAGTGTTTCACTCTGCCCCACACTGGGCAAGCCATGGATTTGTAAGAAGGCAGATGAACAGGATGCTGTTCTGAGGGATGAGGCAATTTTGTTGATTCAGACAAAAGCCATTGTGTTCTTAGCACAGGTGTTTGTAACCAGGCAAACCCTGCCTGCCCCTGGGATTGCCTCACAGGTTTTGCACACTGCCCTGGGCTGTGCACGCCACTGCTCACAGAACCTGAGGACGATGGACGGGGTGCTGGGAGCTGGGCTCAGCAGCAACCTGGGCACTGCTGCATCTTAGGTTGGGGAACAGTTGGCATCTCCACGGCTCCTCTTGGGCAAATTGCCAGAGCGTGGGTGAGCACTCTGCTGTCCTATGCCTGCTCCACCCGGACCCGAGAAGAAGGCGGGTGTGCCTTTGGCGGCTCCTCCAAGCCAGACAGCCACAGGCCCAGAGGCAGGCGCAAGACAACCAGGGTTTCAAAGGCTGCAGGCAGCTGACAAGGGGATCGCAAAGACTCACTTTTCCAGACACTCAGCTCCATTATGAATTATTCCTTAGAATAAGGAGTCTTTCGGCAAGACGTTCACCTCTTTTTCAATGAAGTGTCTTTCTCACACATTTTAAAAGAAGAATTAGGCCGCGCCCAGCTAACACGCTGAGCACTCTGAAAAGGATCACAGTAGAGAGGTGATTCCCAAGGGCACGCAAAACCATTCCCTGGTGGGGACGGAAACAGCCCCAAACCCCCAACCAGACTCGCTGCCAGGAACAGATGCTGACTCATAGCGACCCTACAGATCCTAAGGACAGGGTAGAACTTTCCCTGTGGGTTTCCAAGACAGTAACTCTTTACTGGCTTAGAATAATCCAGGGGACCACTGAAAGCGATAACTACGCTTTGTCCTGGATTATGGGCTATTCTACAAAAGTTTATGAGAGTCAGAGATACTGAGTAGTGGTTTGCTTTGGTTTTGTTTTGTCTGAAAAGGAGGCTGTGGGCAAAATAAGTTCGGGACGCTTTGCCACAGAGGGGCTTCGATAGAGTGGGAGAAAAGCTCAAAATTGCAGAGAGCAGGCCAGGTTTACTGCTCAGATAGAGACTGGTGGGACCACTGAGACTTGGCCTTTAGTCCTCCTTCAGATCGGGAAGGGAAATCACTGCTGTGGCTCAGTTTTCAGACAAACAATAGTCAGGCCTCTAGAGGGAACAATAACACTTGGGGGGTATGCACACCTTAGACTGTGTGAGAGCAAAGGGACAGCACTGACCCAGGGACAAAGCTTTTCTAAGATTAGGAGAGATTGCGGGGTAGACACGGGAAGTATAAGAAGAGGGAGGAGCCAGGTTATATCATGGGGATTGCAATCCATGAAATGAAACACAATGTGTATGGTCTGTTGAATGTTAAACTGATTTGCTCAATAAACCTTCACCCAATTTGAAAAGAAAAAAAGAAGTTTAAAAATAAGTGAATAAAAGTGCTGACTACTAATCATAAGGTCTTTGGTTCAAACCCAACCTCGGGAGGAAGAGGAGGCAGTCTGCTCCTGTCAAGACTTACAGCCTGGGAAACCTTGTGTACAGCATTTCTCTGCGTCAGAATTGACCCGGTGGCAGTTTGGCTCTGGTGCACATCCCTCCATGGTCCCAGGAGAGAAGCCTGATCAGCCAGTTGTCATCAAGTCACGGCAAAAATCCACGCATGTCAGCATAGAACTATGCCCCGTAGGGCTTTCAATGGCTGATTTTTGAAAGTAGTTCACCAGACTTTTCTTCTGAGGTGCTTCTGGGAAGACTGTGTTCTCCGCCCTTTCCATAAGCAGATGAGAGTATTAACTCTTTACAACCTCGCTGACCATGTGCAAGTATAAAAACACAGTGCATAAGGATTAAAGTCAGTGGCGGTGGGGGTTGTGCCATGGAAATGTGAATTCCAGAAGAAAAAGAACCAGAGTGAAATGTATGACTGTTAAAGGGCTTTTGCACAAATACTTTAAATTGATGATGGTGAGAAATCACATTGTCATGATATTACAACCTCATGATACCAAACCAACACCACTGAGTCAATTCTGTTTCATAACCACCCTGACAGGGTTTTCTGAGACTGTAAATCTTTATGAAAGCAGACAGCCCCATCTCTCTGCCAAGCAATGGCTGATAGGCTTGAACTGCTGACTGTGGTAAGCCTAACTTACAGCATCACCAGGGCTCTTTAAGACAGCGATAGAGTGGTTTCATTTTAAAGTCTCCACTTTAAAAATATTCCAGAAATTATATCCTCCAGGACCATTTAGAGAGAAGGTGTACGTTTTGAGATGTTAACTCTAAATACTGTGCATGTTGCATGGCTTCATGGTACCTCCTCTTAGTAAGCTGGGATTCTCTGCATTTCCAGTTTTAGGGGACATCAGAGATTTTCCCTATGACCCCAATTGTCTGATGAGTCTAAGGAGAGGGGAAGATTTTTAGTTTTATGGTTCTGGGGGTAAGATTGTGGCTTAAAAAAGATAAAAATTCCTATTCAAGAATCCATTAGTTATCTCTTTGAATGGTATTTTATTAACACAAGACCAGTTGGCCTTCCAATTGGTTTCTGTTTATCTATCTCTATCCATCTATCCATCTATCCATCCACCCATCCACCCACCCTTCCTTCCTTCCTTCCTTCCTTCCTTCCTTCCACTTGCATTCAACTAAAATGTACTGAGAAGCTCTAGGTACCAGGCTATGGTCAGGTATTCTTCCTCTAAAAGTTGACCCCAACAACACTCTATTTTAATAATAAAATCTCTGTCCCTTCATTTCCTTATAATTTTGGTTGAGATTAATGATGTCATGCATCTACTACTGGTCTAAAATACAAATATCTCCTGTTTACTTGAAGTTTTCACCAAGCTTTCCTATTTGAGGAAAAACTCACCTTTCAGTGCTTTAAGCTAATCTGTGTTCCCCTTTCAAAACAATTGCTTGCATCCTGGAGCCCTGCTGCTAGAATGCAGTTACATATTGTGTAGGGATGGGGAAAGACTGGGGGTTCACGTTGATTCTGCTCCTGCTTGGGTTTGTTAGTGTATCATGGAATGTTGTTCTACCACTTAGAAAGCAAGGCTCCTGTAAATATAGCAGTGAGTGGGTTCACCCCAATCTTATCCAGAAATTAAAAATAGCTTGTAATATTCAATATGATCTGTCCCTCTCTCTTTGCCCAACTCTCCTATTGGGGACAAGTCTTTGGAGATGCCAACATTTTTAAGATAAGAGATTTCAATTCTTTAAGCCAAAGAAACTTTTGGATAAAGTAAAATAGTTGTCTGAAACAATTTTAAAATAGATTCTTTAAAAAAAATAATTGGGATAAAATTTATGAAACATAAAACTCACCATTCTATTTTTAAGCATATAATTCAGTGACTTTTAATATTTGTGATTTTGTGCAACCCTCACGGAAGAATTCCAGAAGATTTCCATCATTCCCCAAAGAAACCAGGTACTCCCTGTTCTCTCCATCCTCCTATTTCCTGCCTCTGGATTTGCCAATTTTAGACATTCCATCTAAATAGAAGCATACAATATGTGGCCATTTGTATTTGAACTCTTTGACTTTTCCAAATCTATCCATGTTAAGTAGCAGGCGTCAATCCTTCATTCCCTTTTATGGATGTGTGATATTCCGTTGTGTGTACATAGTCTCTTTCATTTATCCACTCACACGACCTCTTTAAAGTGTGGAAGGACAGGGACTAAGATGCGCCTGACCCAAGCCAAGGTATTTCCAGTTGCCTCATAGGCATCTGAAGGATGGATACTGAAGAACAGATGTGTTTGAATTATGTTGCTGATGGAGAACATTTGTCAAAAGAACAAACAGATCTGTCTTGGAAGAAGTACAACGAGAAGGCCCCTGAAAGCCAGGGTGGCGATATTTTATCTCACATACTTCAGACCCGTTACCAGGAGAGCCCAGTGCCTGGAAAAGGGCATCACGGTGGGTACAGCTGAAGAGAACTGAAAAGAGGAAGCCCCCTCAGGAGATGGTTGACAAAGTGGCTGCAACTACGGGCTCCTTCGTCACAGCAATTGTGAGGCTAGTATGGGGCTGAGTAGGGTTTCATTTTTATGGTCCGAAAGTCACTGGTTGGAACCAACTGGATGATACCAAACACACACACACACACACACACACACACCAGTGGAGTGACATTTAGGCACTCTCTACTTTCTGGTTAGTCTGAGTAACACAGTTTAGAAGATTCATGTTCAACTTCACGTGTGAACGTATGTTTTCATCTCCCTTGACTATATACCTAGGGGTGGAAACTTTCAATCCTATGGTCAGTCTATGTTTAACTGTTTCAGGAAGTGCCACGCTAGTTTTTCTAGTGATTACCCTTTATCTGCTTTTGTTGTTGTGTGTGAAAAATATGTATTTTTATTTGTATGCTGGAAGGATTCCTTCTCTAGTTTCAAAAAAATGAAAGAACACTTGAATATATTTTACCTTGGCTTTTTAAGGGAAAAGATGAAATAGTTTTGACAAGAAAACTTGACATAAGTCAGTAAATTGAAGCCCCTGTGGGTTTCTGAGACTGTGACTGTTCAGAGGAGTAGAAAGCCCCTTCTTTCTCTTGAGGAGCTGTTGGTGGTTTTGAACTGCTGGCCTTGCGGATTGCAGCAGCACATAACTGCCACACCACCAGGGCTCCGATATTTATGATGGATAATCAATTCCAGTATATATGTACTTCTAAGAATGTAAATTTAGCCATCCATAAAGAAAGATTGTGTTGGTGTAAAGAAAAACAGCCCACGTTGATGTATGGCGCTCTCTGTATGAAGTATGAAACCTAAAAGTCATTATGTTCAATGTGATAAAATATCTTGTGTTTGAAGAGACCTATTTCTTTTTAATATAGGCAGACTTCAAGCCCTGGACAGACAACGGCACCTCTACCTGCATGGTTTCTAGGACAGAAGAGGAGGCCCATGGACGTTCTTTAGGTATCCAGACTTGCTAGAAGAAGTCCCCACAAATGGCAGTCAGAAGGTGCTCTCTGGGGTGGCTCAAGCCCATCAGCGTAGTTCCCTGGTGAGTGTCTTCAGCTTCATTGCCTTCTTTTGTTTACCCTTTTCTCCCAAATGTGTGCTTCCTCGACACAAAGTCCTATCGTTCCAGGCATCTGTCGATGATGCCTGCCATCTTGTGACTGATTTTCATCTCCCGGACACAAGGATCCATGGCTAGCTGCAGTGGTTAGGTGCGTGGCTGCTCATGGAAAGGCAGCCGGTGTGAAGTCCCCAGCAGCCCAGTGGGAGAAAGGCCTGATGGTCTCCCCCTGTACAGGCGACAGCCTAGAAGACCCCATGGGACGGACGGTGCGGCCCTGTCACGTGGAGTGGCTATGAGTCGGAGTGGACGCAGCAAGACCAACAATACAGCAACAGCGGCAAAACCAAACTCATTGCCATCAAGCCCGTGCCTACCCCTGGCGAGCCTGCAGGACAGGGTCAACTGGCCCTGTGGGCTTCACAGACTGGCGCTTGATATGAGAAGAAAGCCTCATCTTTCTCCCAATAATACAACAGAAACTCTGAAATGCATGCACATGATTGCCAGACTCTCTCCCTACCTGCACTCAGGATGTTATGTCATGTTAGCAAACATCTCAGAGTAAGGGAAAGGCCCACACTACCAGGATAGCCCCAGGAGGCCCAGTTAGGACAAGGGGGTCCTTTCGTGGAGAAGGCTCTATGCAGGACATAGGATTAGGGAGACCAGAAATCCCAGCCAACCTCCGGATGGACCCTAGTTAGTTTTACCACCTATGGGGATAAAGTGACTCAACTCTGGTTCCAGGATCTATTGCAACAATGAGTGTGGAAATCTTTTCACAAATACTTCAAGAAAACCTCACCGCCTTTGAGTCAGTTCTGACCCATAGCAGCCCTACAGGGCATAGCAGAACTACCCCTGTGGGTTCCTGTGCCTGTAACTGTCTGGTGGAAGAGAAAACTTCACGTTGCTCCTGTGCAGAGACTGGTGGTTTCCAACTGCTGACCTTGTGGTTTGCAGCCCAACGAGTAACCCACGGCACCATCAGGGCTCCTTTGAGAAAGAGAAGTCCTAGGTAACTGTATAGAGGTGATCAGGAATGTTTTAGGATTGCATCCTTCTCCTGTCAGAAATGGCTTGTCATCGTGATCAAACCCATTGTCTGTGAGCCAATTCCACGTCGTCATGGTCACCCTGCCTGTGGCCCAGTGCATCTTTCCTCCTCAGCACTTTCAGTGGCTCTCCAGGGTTTTCTCTTCAAATGCCGGCAAGTGAACCTGAACCTCCAATCGCTGGCTTAGCAGCTGAGCTCCTTAACTGTGTGTACCCCCACGGGGCTCCTATAATAATTCTATATGTCTCCAATTGTTGCCTGACTATACAGCATACCATCGGACTCACTTAGAACATCCTGGACAATCGGACCCTTCCCTCCACACCCCCACCTGATTTCTTCTCTCTGCAAACCATCCTGAACTCCGTTTGATTTCCTTCCATTCCTCCCTGTAGCCTCCCACCCAAGGCTCCCAGATGCTCAGGTGTCTGAATTGTCCCTGAGCAGCTAGCTGTACCGCCTGCTTTCCTCCTGGTCTTTCCATCATCACCGAGCGTGGCTTCCCTTCCCTCCTCTGTCCAGGAACACACACCAGCGTCAACACACACCTCCCGGTGGTTTAGAGAGGAAAGGGAGAGGAGCATGTATCCAGAGGTACAGGGTGTTTCTCTTGTCACCGATGACAAATAAGCCTCTTAGAGATAGAAAGAGACTTTCTGGGAGGTATTCCTCTGTACTTCTTCCTTTTAAGGATCCCTCCCGGGCCTTCGGGTAAGCCTGGGACTTTGAACCATAAGTGGGTGGCTCAAACCCACCAGCTGTTCCCTTAAGGATTCATGAAGCCTTGGAGCCCATCGCAGCGATGCTGTGTGTCAGAATCCACATGTGCTTTGCGTTGCCCTCCTGTTTAGCAAGGTCTGGGTGGGCATGAATGCTATGCCTTAATCTGGGTCTGTGATTTTCCGTAGGTCCCTTGCACTTGTCCTCTTCTCTGTACACCCTGCATTTGTGGTAAGTATCTTAAGGAACGCTGATAACATGGGGATTGCATTGTTTTTGTGGGATGTCTAAATAAACACGCTCTGGTGTGTCGTTGCTTCACCCATGGAAAGAAATGGACTGGGTGGACTCTCTGCTGGCTTTTTCATTTTACAGTGAGCCTGTGGACCCATTGGCCTGGATAGTAGAGATTTCTGTATTTATAATGCAGTGGCCTTTCCTTAAAAATATTTTGGGGGGCTGTTTAGACAAACAAGCAACAGCTGAGCTACACCAAGATTAAATCAAGAAGTGTCAGGTTCAATGGGAACACGGTCACTCTGGAGAAAGATAAACCTAGAACATTCTGTAACAGACACACTTTCGTTGATTTCCTTGCTAAAGAATCTAAGTTCTTAAAGCCCAACTTCAAATTTTTCTGGGAAATCTCATCACAGGCTACTGGTAACTTGGGTGGGCCTTGAAATAACTGATCTAGTTTAAATACCATCCAGACTAGGTTACCCCAAATACTAGACCCGTGCCCTAGAGCAATTGATTAAGTACCACTCCTCGAAGAATCGGGAAAGAGGAAAAACTGTTAGGAGGCTAGCCAAAGAAAGACACGACAAAAACCAAGCTGCTTAGCCAGTGCTTGAATTACCGTATCCCAATTTCCCAGTGACACACTAATTTCATCTAACAATGTTAATCATGTATTATATGTGGTGGGCTCTAATTCTTAAGATACATGACAGGTTACAGAAATCCATAAAACATAGTATTTAAAGCATAGTACATGAAAGAAGAATTATGTGATTCATTATCTTGGCATTGACTTGCCAACTGAACACTCCTTATCAGTCATACACAATGATGGAGAAAGCTGGAGGGGTCGATTGGACACCAAGCTGGGTTCAGATAGTAATCACCATTCAAAACTCTTGTCCCACCCTTGAAGACAGTGATAAATGTCTAACAAAATCGATTATACTTGAACATGGCTGTCTGAAATCAAAATGGCGCCAGTCTTGCTCACAAGTCACAAGTGCACAATTCTATCTGTCCACCAGCTTCAGCATGGTTCCCCTCAGTCCCGGTCTGCCTCTAGCTATCATCAGTCATTTTGAAGTAAAGCAAAATAGAAAGTTATCCTTTCTTTTTCTGTTACCAGTTGGAAGCTGAAAGCAAGAGGTTCAAATGAAGGAGCCGTATTTGTTGGTTCTGTGATCACTGAGGATATCACCCGGGCAAATCGCTTCCTGTGTCTGTGCCGTGTTTTCTCCCTGTGTGGAGTAGGGTGGCAAGACTTGTCCAACTTATCTCAGGGGACGCACTTGAGAGTATCATGGGGAAGAAGAAAGAAAATCGCCCTGGAAATGGATGAATTCTGCTAGTTTCTTACCATTTGGTGGCAGGGAACACACCAAGGCATAGGTTGTTCGGATCTGTTTGATACACTTTCTTTTTTAAGAGCAGTTTTAGGTTCTGGAGGACTCGCACAAAGCACAGATGTGTGCTGACTTTTCGGTTGGTTCTCGTACCTGCTTTTTCTAAGGCTATTTTTGTCTCATATTCTCTATATTATTTATCCCCCGCCCCCCTCCACTGTAAAAGCCTGGAGAGTCCTATATGGCACCCTTTTGTTTCTTATATGAAACCCTGGTGCTGTAGTAGGCTACTCGTTGGGCTGGTAACTGCAAGGTGAGCAGTTGGAAACCATCAGCCCCTCTGAGGGAGAAAGATGAGGCTTTCTACTCCAGTAAAGAGTCACCATTTCAGAAACTCCGAGGGGTTTCTCCCAGAGGCCTCAATGCAGCTCTACTGTAGCTGAGATGGAAAGGTGGAAACTACATTGAGGCGGTTGGGCACTACCCTCTGAATTTTAAATACTCATGAGTCCTTTGGTGCAGGAATTTGCCTCTTAGCAGGGATTGACTCTGACTTATACTCAAAGAGCAATGCCCAGGAGTACGAATCACAGAGTGGTGTCAACAGCAGATGGCGAGGTCTTACCTCCGTGGCCATCAATGGGAACTGAGCGAACAAGGGTGGGCCCGTCTTCTGAAGGATGGTGAAGACGTACTGGGAAGCGAAAATAGCCAGGTATAGGACCATCGTGTGTGTGTGTGTGTGTGTGTGTGTGTGTGTGTGTGTGTGTGTGTGTGATGGGAACGTTTGCTTTTGGGGGTAGGGAGCTGGGGGCCCAGGGAAGAGAGAATTTCATGTTCCCATGATCTTTTTTTGCTCCCAGTATGCCCTTTGGTTCAATTATCATGTACATGGATTGTTTTTCAAAACAAAACAGACAGCGTGCTACACGTAGGATGAGTTTTAATCCTCTCAGAAATGGGAACTTTGTTTCTTGTGCTTCCTGTGGAGCAACTCTGGGAAGCCCGAGAGGGACTCTCTCCTTTGCTTTTTGGGGAGGACGAAGTTGGGTTTTTGAGAAGCCACCGCCCTCCCAAGGGTGATGGTTTGTGGTTTGAGTGTTTCGTTGCCCATGTATGGTCTTTATCTCTTTTAAAATGAGTTTGGAAGTCTATTTTGAGGCACACCGTCTTCCTCTATTGGATGCACCCCCTTTTGAAAGCCATGTGTCTCATGCCAAGATGAACTTGGTAGAAATGGCAAATCACTGTTTGTTTTGTTTTTTTCTTTTCCTCTTGGTCCAAGTCAGTAATTTATATCAACACTAGAGACTCCTGTCTCTTTCTTAGAATCTTCTAATCTATTTTGGGATCACTCCTCCCTCTGCATTAAGGTCTCATTGTGTTTCAGATATCTCTGAGATGCTTGGCAAAATCAAGTTGTGTTTTTTTTTTAAAGGCAGAACAAACTTGCCTTTATAATCAAGCTGTCACATCAACGGGCCTTCATATTTCTCCGGTTCTTTTGATGTTTCATCCAACCAGGGCAAGGAATCCCGACCTTAAACGAACCTCAGTCTCAGGACAAGTTACTGAAAAGGCTTTCCTGCCGTCCCGATCTGGCCTCGGACATTTAATTAATTCATTCTTTTAACCTTACCAGGATTTTGAACATAGTGTTTCTGCATTCAGAGATAGCAATGCTACTCAAGGCTCAAGAGGCATAAGTGGTTGAAACTTCAAATACATTTTTCTAGCTGAGGTTACTTCATGTAAGTTAATTTCTAACTTGAATTATTTAATTACCTGTCAAGGTTCAAATCTGTATAGACTTTCTGTGACCCACGAGGAGTTTATTTTTAAAGATGACTTTTTTCTTTCTCTCTTTCTCTTTGGATGCTTACTTTCTAGATATTTTTAATTGGATTGAGAACTGCACATATGGTATATGTCCTTGCACCTAAGGGATACCTAAATTGTGAGATAGAAAAGAAAACTGTTCTGGTCAGACTCTTTTCTCATTCCTATAATATAGATAAACCCATACATATATATATACACAAAAAATATTGCTTCAAAGCCATCAAACTATAAAAATAAAAGAAACACAAAAAATCTCACTGTCATTGACTCAATTCTGACTCATAGCAACCCTATAGGATGGAACAGAACTAACCCTGTGGCTTTCCTAGACCGTAACTCTTTGCAGGAATAGCAAACCTCATTTTTCTCCCACGGATAGTGGGTGGTTTTGAACTGGTGACCTTGTGGTTAGCAGCCCAATGAGTAACCACTACACCACCAGGGCTTCTACAAAATCATAGACACCTTTGTTAAACCAAAATATCCAGATTATTTGAAGCTATAGTTTCTCAACACAGCCTCCCCGCAGGCCCATACTGTTCTCAAGCTGGTGTTTGTAGCCCACCTCTCTGACACTTCCACAAAGGTGTCTGCACGTCAATGGACACCATGTCAAAGGGTCAGTTTGGGCATCTTCAAAGGACTCAAATCGTGTTCCTTTTCGATGTCTGTGGAGTTTGGGGAACACACAAGAAGGCTGAAGCTGCAATCACAGGGCTGGAGGGTGTACAAGGTGAGGTTTCCCAAGGAAATCCTCATAGAACAGCCCTGGCTACCCTGGGATAATGAGAAGGTGCATTGTCATGGAAGGAAACAATTCCTCTGTACAGTTTTCCTGACCTGTCCTTCACTAATGCCTCTTGATTACCCCATGGGAATCCCCCAAAATAGTCACGATGACCTTGTGAGCTGGCCTCACCATCATGAACCTAACTGGCCCAGGACATCCCCCGGGAAGTCACTGTTTTGATCAAACCTTGTGTTTTCATATTTGAAAGCACCCCAAGGATACTAAGGTAGTTAAACTACAAAAAGGCTTTGTCTGTAGCCAATGATCACAGGGGCTTGTTTAAACGTGTTTTGTTTGGAATAAGCCCGAGCATGTATGAACTGGAACTCGAACAGCAATACTTTGGGATTTATCCACATGTACTTAACTTTGTAGTCACAGACACATTTATGTACATGACACTCACTGCCACTGGGTCTATTCTGACTCGTGATGAGCCTATAGGGCAGGGTAGAACTGCCTCTGTAGGTTTCCATGACTGTAACTCTTTACGGGAGTCGAAAGCCCCATCTTTCTCCCAAGGAGTAAGATGGTAGTTTGGAAGTGCTCATCTTGAGGTTAGCAGCCTAATATGTAACCACTTCACTACCAGGGTTCCTATTTATATAAGAGTATATATGTTTTCCATCAAAACTAAATTGATTCATCTTTTTCATGAATCCCCATTATCCGATGGCCGTAAGCCTTAAGTTTATAGTCTTTTTGAAGAAAAACGTATTCTCTCACCATTTAGGAGAGACAAGCAGTCTAAATTCAGGGAGCTTGCTCGAAGGAAGACCTCCTTTCTGTCTGTTCTAGAGGAAGATCCTTGTCTCCTTCCAACGTCTGTGGATGGGCCTCATTTGCCTTGGAGATCCACATACGTTTTGGCATCCATTTCTCCTGGGTCTAGGAGCTTCTCAGCACAAGGACCCCCAGCCCGAAGGACACACTTCTTGTTGCCAGCTCTTCTTTCTTGGAGGGAGTCCGGTCCCCCACGCTTAGAGTCTTGAGTTTCAAACAAGATCTATCCAGTTTAGAATGGTGCCAGTCATGAGCCTGTTGCAGCAAGGAATGGACAAAGACAAGAACTAGACAACATTTACTTCGGATACCTCCTTGACCTTCCCACCCACGTCCTCAGCTAGAACTCAGCAACTGCTTTGACCAGGGCTTGGGGTGGAAGGTGGTGGTGCGGGGGAGGACCCCACTCTTTCCCTAAATGCTCAGCCCGGACTGTGGACAGCTAGCCAGCCCTCCATCCCATTCCAAGTATGTCACAGTGACTCTGTTCATGTTTAAGGGATCCAGTCATGCAAACAGTTACTCCGGGGGTCTACTTTTATATTCACGTGACTGATTACTCTGGAACTAGATTGTGAAGATTCATGAGTCAAGGTGCTGATTCTCCCCCAAGTGGCTCACATGTATATATGTATGCATGTATGTCTGTGTGTGTTTGAAGATGGCATTAAAGTGAAGAAAGTATGCCTGTGTGCAGGCGGGAAATGGCATTCCGAGTGTTGAAGAAAGGTTAGCTAAAAGTGGAGGAAGGGAGATGAATGATTCAAGGTCAGGAACTTTGTGGTGGAAGGACACGTTAGAGGAACCATATATTGGAGATGCAGCACATTGTGGGATGGATGATTTTAATTCGAAGCTCAAAGCTCTAACTGATGACTTGACCCAGGAAGGTCATGGTAAGAAACACAGGTCCTCACTGATCTTAGAGGCCAAGCTTGGGGTCCTGACAAAAAACCAGTCTTCGGGATTTTGTTTGCAAGCCAACTGTACTTACAGCTTCTCCAACAGCATACTTTACACTCTAAGATTGGTCACAACTTAGAATTCAGTGCTAACAGGGACAAGGAAGCTGCAGAGATCTCTGGTTAAAGCTAAATCGTTTCAGATGAAGGGCGACTCCCCCTCCCCAGGTCCTCTGCTCTAGAAGCATCTTGCTAGAATATTCCATCCTCTTTCATATCAAGCCACAGTTTTAAGTTCCGCACTAGCCTTTCCTTCTCGCTGATTCACAAGCCAAAGAGTGTTGTGGATTCCCCACGAGTTGGGTAAACCCATGAACACTTGTTATCATGTGTATATGCTATGCACCCAGCAAAGGGATGGATTCCAACAGACTGAATACAATGCTTTGATTTTCAGAGTGGGAAGAAACATGCTGGTCCCTGTGGAGGAAGAGACTGCTCCACTTGCCAGTGCTTTCCAGAGAAGGGGGCTCGGGTAAGTGCCATGGGGAAAAACGGATGTGGGAAGCATCGCTGGATTCTGAGCCATAGTTAACTATGTAGCAAGAAGGAGTCCCAGATTCCGAACCTGTTCTGGTAATTGTTGTGCTAGGTGCCATGAAGTCCATGCCCGGGACTGAGTGAAACTTCCCCATGAGGTTTTCTAAGCTGTAAATCTTAAGGGAACAGATATATCACCAGGATTGTCCTCCCAGGAGCCGCTGGGTAAGTTTATACCATAAACTTTCCAGGCGATTAACAAGGCTTCTTGTTTGGCCAGTTTTTAAAAAAAATTCACTACCATGACATCCATTTTGACACGTCTTGTTGTTAGTAGGTGCCATCGAATCGGTTCCGACCCATACCGACCATATGCACAACAGAATGAAACACTGCCCGCTCCTGCACCATCCTCACCCCGGCCCTTATGCTCGGGCCCATTGTGGCAGCCCCTGGGTCCATCCATCTTCTTGAGGGTCTTCCTCTTTTTCACTGCCCCGCTACTTTACCAAGCATGATGTCCTTGTCCAGGAACTTGTCTTTCCTGATGTGTTAGTCCGGGTAGACTAGAGACACAAACTCACGGACATTCATGTGTATATGAGAGAGTTCTATATACAGGGTAAGTGTACATTAAGAAAGCATCCCAACCCAGTCCAGTCCAAGCCCATAAGTCCAACATTAGCCCATATGTCTGACACCTATCTACAAAGTCCTCTTCAGACTCACGAAACACATACGATGATGTCAAATGCATGATCCAGGGGCATTGTAAGCATCTCAGCACTGGTAGGGATTATCATGTGGCTTCTCCAGGTCCAGGGTTCTGGCTGCATCAGTGTAGGTCCATGTGGCTTCTCCTCAGGGATGTCTCACAGGGAGTGAGCAACTTCCACCTCCAAGGAGGAAAATACAGGAATACCCAGAATCCTCAGGGGATGGCCATGCCCACACAGAGGCCTCATTGGCTATAACCTGATTGACAGACTAGACTCCACCCCTTCACTTTTAATCCTCTCAAGTCCCAAATTGATATCAGATTATGTAACTACCATGCCTGACAACGTGTCCAAAATATGTAAGGTCCTATAGGACAGGGTAGAACAGCCTCTATGGATTTGCAAGGCTATAGATCTTTACAGGAACAGAAAGGCTCATCTTTCTCTCTGGGAGTGGCTGGTGGATTTCAACTGCTGACCTTGCAATGAACAATCCAGCCTGTAACCCTCTATGCCACCAGGGCGTTCCAGTTTGGGGAGTAGATAATGCTTATTTTGGTCGGGAGTCCCTGGATGTTACAAGCAGCCGATCTCTCTATCACTGGCTGAAACATTGTTGGTTTGAACCCACCTCGTGGCACCTCAGAAGTCCAGATTGGTGACGTGCTTCTGAAAGATCCCAACCATGGACAGCCTGCGGCGCGTTTCCACTCTGCACACATTGCGTCACAAGCAGTTGCTATCAACTGCATTGCAACTGACAACAATAACAACAGCTGACATCTTTTATAATCCTAGTTCCTGACATTCTTCTTTAGACAACTTCGTGTTGGGCACTGGGTAGAAGTGTTGCCGAATAAGATCGATTTTCCATTTGACAGTGCATACCCATTTTGTTCCACGTCCTTGACTGCAGTCCCAACTAGGCAGCATCACCTAGCCCACTCCCTCCCCATGTGTCTCGACTCCATTGCTCATTCCTTCCCGCCCTTCCCTGCCTTCTGAACTCTCTCCTTGGGTGACAGCTGCCCTCTTGATCTCAAATGAGTGGTTCCTCTGAGGTGTGTGCATCTGCCTAGTGCCACGGTCTTTTGTTTGACTGAAAATCGAGCAAGGGGGCGAGTTCACTTCCAGACCTGAAGGTGTAAAGCAAACAGGAAGCAAAGATATACTAACTTCTTGGCCACAATCTGGAAGGAAGGAGTGCCTGCTCCTGGAGGCTAAGGACTGTGGTTGTAGGGGACATTGAGGTCAATTGGCGTACCATAGCTCACACAGACAATGGTCTACCTTCTGCTTTGGGCATAGCTTCTTTGGTGTTTTAAAGTGTGCCAGTGCCCATTGGAAGGGTTACTACTGGTCTCTCCCATTGGGAAGAAAGAAGAGAGGAGAAAATTGAAGACATGGCGAAACAATTAGTCCAAAGGATTCATGGACCATGTGAACCTCAGTGTCTAACACCCTGAGATCAGAAGAACTAGATGGTGCCCGGCTACCACTGCTGTCTGCTCTAATAGGGATCAAAATCACAGGGTCCTGGGAAGGGTGGCAGAAAAAGAAGGAAGCAAGTTGCTGACAGTCTGATCCTCACTGCCATCCTGTTGATGCTGACTCACAGGGACCCTGTAGGACAGAGTAGAACTGCCTCACCTGATTTGAGGTTACAAGTCTTTACTGGAGCAGTCTGCCTCACCTTTTTCCCTCAAGGTAGTGGGTGGGCTCAAACCTCTCATCAGCAGCCCAATGCTTAACCTGCTGTACCACCAGGGATCCTGTCCCAGTTAGGTCCGTCTGGATGTCAGGCTTAGAAGACAGCCTGGGGTCAGTGTCCCCTAGTTTGTATTCCATCAGTCTCGTCAATGGCCTTTTGAAGGATGGGTTCAGGGGTTACGTGGTGTATCCTTGGTAACCACCCTGAAGCTGCACAATGCATACCCTCCCTGTCAAGACTCTGAGTAGTACTGCCCTCAGGGAAGAGACAGGATCCACTCCCTCTAGCAGTCGCTTCTCCCTCAGACCTTTGGTTGCAAAGTGGGAGACCTTTCCCATGTGCACATCACACTGCTTCCAAACATTGCTTGGTTTTTGTATGAGAACTGGGAGGAGGCTGCTATGGGGATCTACAGGTCGGTAGAGGTCAAGATAGCTGCCCAACAGCTTCCAGCATGCAGGTGAGCGCCCACCACACAGACTAGCCCTCACTGCACAAACTAGCCCCTACGCACAGGGGAGTCCCACCCCACAGACTAGCCTCCACCTCACAGACTAACTCCAACCACATAGGCTAACCCTCCCCACATACCCCTTACCACATAGACTAGCCCCCATCACACAGACTTTAACTCCCACCACACAAGCTAGCCCCCATCACACAGACTAACTCCCACTACACAGGCTGATCCCACGACACAGAATCCACCGTCTCCTGATGCCGACAGTACTGCCATTGAGAACGCCTGCCCTCATCTTACAACCATGCTGAGAGGTGGGTATCTTTATGTCCATCTGTCAACACAGGAACCTGAACTCCTAGGACTTCTGAGTAAGTCGCTGGTCTGTGGAAGAGGCAGGGTTCCCACCCAGCTCTCTGCACCCCCAGCGTTGGCTTTATGACTGTGAAAGCTCCGAACACCCAGGGTGTGGTCTTCACTCTTGAGCGGACCCCTGACCCTGCCTGAGCCTCGGTGTCCTCATCTCGACACCCCAAGTGCTGTCCCTTTTTATTGCATCTGACTGCTGAACAGTGGAATGTGAGTCCATTGTGTGCCCTCTGACGCAGCCCACACATTGTGTGCCATGAAGGCTTGTGATGGCACGTCCTGCTCTGTCTGTGTCTCCAGCTGGGTGGTCAGGGGCAGCTGTGTAAAGAACACCCATCAACGTTTGCCCTTCTTGAGACGGATGAGTCCCGCCTTCCCCCGCCCCGCGGACCACATGTTCCTGCTAGGAATGTGGAGCCTGTGCAGACGTGGGGCTGGGTTTGGGAAGTGACATGTCAGGCCCTCAGCAGCCAGCCCACTGTGTACCTGCTCTGGAGCTATACGGCGTAATGACACCTCGAGGTGGATTGTACAGGAGTCAGTCAAGAAGGTTGCGCGCGCACACACAAATCATAGCCTTGTTTACAAAGCAAATGTCTTCAATGTGCTTCTCAACACGCCCTCCACCAAGGTCCGCACCCTTCTGCAGGAGACGTTGTCGCCTCTCTGACCCTCCCCTGAATTCTGGCTGCTTAGGTGACGGCACAGCAAAATGGCAGTCTGGGCGCACGCAGGCGACTTACATTGTGCTCCTTTTCAAT